GCCATCAACATGTTTTCAATTTTTCATGGATCGCTTTGACCTTGTTCTCCTGTACCAGAGTCTCTCCGAAACCTGCAGTGCGCAGTCTAAGAGCGGAGCCCTGACACCTGCACGTTCAACACGCTGTCAGAGTCTGCGGACCTCTGTCCAGCTCAAAAGTTCTTACGGTGTATATGTGAGTTCTCACACGAGAGACTTTCAAAACCTTACACAAGCTCTTCTGGGATGACTTTGTACTTCAATTTTATTTGAAGCCCGGGTGAGGAGGAGCAGAAGGAAAGGGAAAGTTAAAAGAAAGAGGCAAGGCTTTGTTTGGCACTGCCACACCGCTCGGCACCTCACAGAAGCAATCCTTACTTTCTCAGAGGTTATTTTCCTTAGAATAAGCAGAGATTCTTACTTCAGGGGCCTTAGAAAATAAAAGTTTAGCAGCCAGGTAATAATTGAAGCTAGATATACGAAAACACATAGTTAACAGAAAGTTTAAAGGCATCCACTTCCTCACATTTGTCGGCATAAAATCATGCTCTAAATTCTTTTTCCTGAATTCCCTTTAATTGCTCAGAGAACACTGGTAACAGCATTGTGACTTGCTGAGACAGATCCTCCCAAGAACTGTTATATAAACCACATTTCTTCCTACAGTGTTCAAATCACCTTTTATAAGCTGAAATTAAATTTTTTTGTTTGCCCTTATACTTTGGGGAGGGGTAAGCAATTTTTGGTAAAAATGCTTACACAGTAAGACCTTTTTGAAAATTGCTGAGGGCAGGGAGAGGAGAGCTTAACAATAATCACTGTTTTGTTCTATTGTTTGAAGCAGAATGAATCGACCCACACATACATAAAAAGATCACAAATTATTTAACACAGGTATGCAAATACAAAACTGCACAATCATAAAACTGTACCTGGCAAAGCAAGATTTACTTTAACTATGAAAAGAATCCACGTTTTTTTTTTTCCTCTTAAAAAGAAAACATTTGCCAAGAATCAAGACAGTCACCAGAAAATGGGATGTTAATGGTGAGAAACTACAGCAGAATAAACAAGACAGACTGGTCAGTGCCACTCATACTAAGGAAAGCACAAAATAGTGTGTCAGTGTTCACGATCGAGAGCAAAGGACAGCACACATCCCACAGGGCTGGCTGAGCAGTGTTATACCCCACCAGCATCAGGGTGCCCAGAAAGCTCTGTCTGGACGAGTCAGCCTTCTGCTCCTGCAGCGTGACAAGCGCTTCCATACGGCCTGGCTCCTTTGTCTAGCTGATACTTTCCTCCCAATATGTTTTCATCTTTGTGCTGCTTAAGGTTTCAGGTCTCAGCTTTCTTTATTCCACGTCTAAATTAGGTACTCGTTTCTCTCCACGTACTACCTTCCTAAGAATCTCTCTCCATACTATGTAAAATCTATCTATCTATATAGATATATGTCTATATGTATCTATATATACATAGATATATATATTACATTATATAAGGTGTCTCTTTTCTACATAGGTTATACATTCCACAAGAACACAGGGCGTGTCTGTTTCTTTCACACGATGCATATGGCCAGGGTCTAAGGACGCTGCTGGGCACACAGGTGGAAATAAAGTGCATTCGGAGTTCGTTCTCTGGCTGTGTTGCCATCACTTTTGTAGAGCCCCAACAAGACTAGACCCTTCCCACTTGCTATGCTAAACCCTAAAACCTTAACATTAAATAACAGAGGTTCCCTACTGACCTGTAAAAACCACTGGGGAGGAGGCAAATAGAAACGAGCTGTAGTAAAGTGTTCTGGGCTTAAGCAGGGATGGGAGGGTCCTTTTGTTGGTACTATTAGTTTTCACCCAGGCCAGTAACCCGCCACTGACTTTCTTTGGATTTCACAGATCTGCTTGATTGCTATTCTTTCTACTGACACTAACTCTTACCTTGAGTAGTTTCTCCTTCTCTTCAGAAGTAGAACTGAATGCAAATTTAGTTTCTGCCTTCCATCTCCATGGAAGCCAGCTTCCATGATGGGCTCCGCTGATCCTTCCTTGCCTCCTAGTAATCACATCTCTTGAGCAGCAGACCCTTCCCCAACTGAGCACAGCTGACCTACGTAGCCAGTACAATGTCATGAAATGACGGTGTAAGACTTCTGAAGCTAAGTCGCAGAAGACACCAGGGTATGCGCCTCAAGCTTATTTTTGCTCTGGGGGGATCCAGCAACTACACTGCGAGGACACTCCAGTAGCCCTGTTTAGAGGTCCATGTGGTGGTGAACTGAGCTCTCCTGTCAACGGTTTGCACTAACTTGCTAACTTGCCAGCCACATGAATGCGCCATCTTGGAAAAGAATCCTCTAGCCTGTCAAGGCTTCCAACGACTGCAGCCTCAGCCGGCATCCTCATCAGATCCTCAGCCAAGAACCAAGCAGCTCAAGTGCTCCTGAATTCTCACCCACAGAAATTGTGTGAGATAATAAATGTTTGTTGTTGCTTTAAGCTGCTAAATTTAGGCATGATATGTTATGCAGCAATAGGTAGCTAATATAATCCTCACTCAAGTTCACAAAGAAAATTTTCTAGAAACTTTCACCATTAATATATAGGGAAACGAGAAAGTAAAATTTAAAAATTTTACCCTACAATTCTTTTCTTCTTTTCCATTAGATTCCATAAGGAAGACAAAGCAAATACCTGGTTATTTGAAAACACCTTAAAAGGATAAAATAAGATTCATTCTATTTTTTGGGAAAAAGAAAGAATTTCCTTGTATTAAATAGAAGACAAGATTTTCTGAAAGGAATGAACAGAGGAAAAAGAAGAGATGGGATAGAGGAGTGAAGTGCTGCCCTTAAGATCAGGAAAGGAAAAAAGGGAAAACAAAGCAAATTCAAGAATGAGTTTCTTCCATTTGTTACAACCTTGCTTTAGCAGATTTGAGTGCCCCGTACCCACCCACCCAAAGAAAACACGGAATGATTAGAGTATGAGAGGAAGATATACAATATGATACCAGAGGCGGGGGAGTTTGTGCTGGTAAAGAAAGCAAGAAAAATACTGCAAGTGGCCACACTTAAGTATCAAGACCATTTTAAACAGGTGTATGATGGCAATTTGCAGAAGTACCAGTCTTATTTGTTTATTCTATGCAGAGAAGATTTCTCAATGCTTTTTCTTTTCTTTTCTTTCTTTTTATTCTCTGCCATAATGAATGTAGAACATAAAATACTCCAATTAGAAACACAGCTGTGTCACCGTGATTGCTAAAGGTGGCGGTGAGCAAGTTCTCCCCCTTCCCAGGGCCAGAGATAATTTTTCTAACAAAAGAATTTTGCATTCACTTAAGATTTTATTATTAGATTCCTCTTAGCCTTATGCTGCTTCCACCTTCTTTTTCAAAGTCTTCTTTCTAGGTTTCTCGCCACTTTTATTACAACACAGGCTGGAGAAAAAGAGATGCTGAGATAATTTACAGTGCAGTAGAGAATGTTCTCTCTGAGCTTCTTCAGAAGGCTTTTATGTTTTTTAAAGAAGACTGGGTAAGACAATAATGGAAACCTTCCCATCCTCCACTGGCAATAGTTAATGTTGACTTTATCTCGTATTAGAATTTCTAAGAGTTTTCTTTCTACTAAGTCAAGAGAATAGAAAAGTTCTTCATAATCGCAAGCTACTGAATTCTTTTCTTAAACAGCAGAGCCAAGACAAATGTCACTGGAACTGTCAGCATAACAGTGAGAAAGAATAAGGCCCCAATACTAAACAAATACTCAAAAAACTAGGCCAAGTTTTGGTTAAAAGCAAAAATCCCTGCCCTCCACCCCCCAAAAAACCAAAGTATAACTGTATTTATTAGTTTGTAAGAATTACCATTGCCACATGTTGTCAACAATAACTAATGATTCCTTGACCTTCTTGAGCTCCTTAGAAATAAAGAAATTAGAAAAACAAGAAACTTCTTTCCAAGCAAAATCCAGAATCGAAACAAAAACGTTTAGATTATCTGATTGGTGTTGCCAAGTCAGCCCTGGGCCACCATCCTGCTGCCAACACTGAAGTTCTGAAGTTTTTAGGCTAAAGTTTGTAAGAGAATTGTTACTTGGCTTAATGTAATTAAAACTGTAGAAAGAGTACAAAGTAACTCATGCTTATGATTCAATGAGACATTCTAAGCCAAACCAACCAGTTAAGCTGTTCTTGAATTCCTGACTCTTAGAAACTGTATGAGGTCATAAATGCTGATTGTTGTTTTAAGCTGCTAAATTTTGGGATAATTTATTATGCGACGATAGATGATAACATATTTCTCATCACTCAAGCTCATGAAGTTTGCTAGATTTTCACCATTCATGTAAAAGGCAATGAGACATATTATATAAAGAAATGTAAAATAATTACTAACAAATGAAAGAAAGCAAGTATGTTAAAAGAAATGTCTTCAAATATAGTTAACAATAAGGTTGACACTGTAAGATCAGTGGGGCTGATTCTTTTTCCTAATTTGCCCCAAACTTTTATGAAGACGAAGAAACTCCTGTAAAATATCCCCCTTCAAAACGCTCTGCTAGAAAGCAGAAGAAAAATGAGAGTTAACCTAGGACAGTTCTAGATTGGAATCACTGCGAATTGCGAATGAAAATATTTTAAGGAATTTTTGAAAATTACTTTTGTATTTGGTAGAATTCTAGAAAAGTGACTATACTATACCCTTTTAGATCCATTTTTAGATCCATTCTTTATCCTCTGGTGAACTTCAGAGTATCTCTAAACAGTGGCTTTTTCTTTAAACACAAGCCCAGAGAGATGGGTTTACATTTCTGTGTAGATCTACATAAATCTAAACAAGCTACAAAGGAAAAAGTATGACATTTCACCAAGACAAAGATTCTTATTAACAAACTTATAATAGAATTTTATAGGTGAGATAGGTGCTACTTAGCGCTCATATTTGTATAAAAATGGTAAGATAGGCAGACAAATTGGTGGATGATATAAGATTTAAAAAAAAAAGTCACCTACCCTTAAGAGGATCATGCTCTGCTCTCATAATATCAATAAGGGAATTTTCCAAAGAGTGCATATTCAAACTGTCATACATTCTACTTCGATCCTAGAAGAGAAGAAAAACAAGACTCAATATAATCTATGCAAAATTTTTCAAAAGATGATGATAAATATACTATCTTAACCTTCTTACATAAAATAGGACATCTGATTAACATATTATTCATTAGTTTGCATCCCAAGACAATGCCAATAACTAAGGATCTCATAAACTACAATCTTTCTAGTATTAAAGGACAATATATTTAATACATTTATCTCCAAAATAACATATCACAAGTAATCTTATTTCAATGGTAGTACTAATACATTAGAGTAAAATAATTTTGTTATTCTCAACGTATAAAGATTTCTGAAATGTAATATACACGGAAAGCATTTTTAGTTGTTATTTAATTTCTAAACTTTTCTCATATGTCTAGGAAGACTGGCACTTAAAAAGGAAATATTTTTGAAGAAAGGACTTAATTCCGTAATTGCACCATACTTTAAACATCTATTAAACATTGTATGTTATTTGACTTAAAATTTCACAATAATGAATATATAAACATATTACATAGTAAAAATAAAAAATACGAAGGACTAACACCTAGAATATTTATATTCAAATCTTGCTCTCCAAAGCCCTCACATATTGGTCTCTGCACTTCTAAACTTTCCCTTCATTTCACCTCTCTGCAAAAAAAAGGTAAATGGGGGAGCAAAAGCATTCTCATTTCACAAAGTTTCCTACCTTGTCAAGTCTCAGAACAAAGTCTTGTTTGCTGAATGTGAAATCCCTCAACTTGCTTATTAGATTCTCCAATGTTCATAAATTTATACTGTACTCTGCTCGACACACAATCAAACCGTACTTGAGTATATATGGGGAGCCACCACAGCAAGCTCTGGCCCATGTCCCCCAAATCACCAGCAGTGCTAATCCCCACCTATTTCAATGTCTATGTGTGTGTGTTTATACACGTATATACATATGTGGGGGAGGCAGGTAGGACATTTTTAACTCTCAGAAAATGATTAACAGAGGAAAAGGAAAGAGAAGAATCAGAAAAGTTGGGGGTGGGGGAGGGAAGTCTCCACAGAAATCACAATCTGGCACCTAACTTGGATCTGTGAGCCTCAAGAAGGACCATGAAATCTCTGAGGTTATATGCAACATTCTGTTTGTGAATATACACATCATTTTTTTTTTTTTCTGATGAGAGGCTTACAGGTTTCATCAGTTTTCCAAAAGGGTCTACAATCCAGAGAAGATTCAGAACCAGTCTTTTAGAAAGTTGAAGAAAAACATAAGAGCTTTCCTGATAATATGTTAATTATTTACTCTACTTTGATGTTTACATTAGCGTTGTGAGCTTCTTAAAGGTAGGGGCCAGAATCATAACATAGACTAAATGAGTTGCTGTCAAGGCGTTTAAATGTAAAAAGTAATGTTGAATGATGGAAAGAATGTTAGACCAGAGGCTCTTATTCCATCTTTATCACCAATTAGTTACATTCTGACTTATTTTTACTTAAAGACTCCTGAGGTAGAACACACCCAACAGTAACAGGGGTTCACTAAAGTGACCTTAACTGGTGAGGGAGGCTCAGAGAACCCTGAGCTATAACAGTGGTTCTCAAACGTAAGTATGCTTTAGACTCATCTGGAAGGCTTGTTAAATACAGATTACTGGGATCTGTTAATAAAATCTGATTCAACAGGTTGGGGGTGGCCTCTGAGAATTTGTTTTTCCAATGAGTTCACAGGTGATACTGTGGCTGCTGGTCCAGAGACCATACTTTGCACTGGGCTTCTTGATCTTAAGTTATTAAATCTCTTTACGCTCTGTTTTGTCTTCTAGAAAACAAAATAACCATGTTGAACTAGATGATGCCTAAAATCCACTTTAAAAATACTAGAAATAACAGAAAAGCAAAAGATTCAAAGTACTATATAATGAAATAAAAATGATGAATAGAGAAGAGCATGACCCTTGGATAAAAATGACATAAAATTTTGGTAATCTATACAAATATTTCCATCTTCTGTGATTCCACAATACTTTGTTCATAACTATTTTAAAAAATATTTCCTGCCTCTCCCATTAAACTTCTAAGTTAATTAGGGTATGCTGTATCATATAGTTTCTAAGATAAAGTATATTATACTTTATGTTCTATTTACCTTAAATTCTTGCAAAGAAAATATGTTATAGTTCAGAGCTATTTTCTCAGGCTGATGGTTTTTGAACAGAAGCAGACTATACCCAATCTTCATTCAACCTATGAAGTTAATTCATGGTGACTATTAATACCACCCAAATGATATCTCCATACCACTGTTCCTTGTTGTTGTTGCTGCCACCCTTAATTTCCATGGAGTGTGATCTTGATTTAGAGCAGAGTAAAGTTAACGAAGTAATTCTGTATACACTGTCTGTCACTGGGCATGGGCAGTATTTAAGATGTGAAGGGAAAATACATAAGCAAGCTATTCAATGAATATCAATGACCACTTTACAATCAACTCTGACAAATGTTATTCAAAAAAGCTATTATGTATTAATAGCTTTAGCTTTAATGCCCTTATCCAACTGAAATAGTATGATTCCCACTTATAAGTACCCTCATTATCTTTTGCATACAAGTCTTTCATCATGAAACAAACTCCGACTTTAGCAAAGAATTTAGCAAACCTATTTAAAATTTATTAGCTTGGTTACACTTTAAGCATCAGCTGTATCCCACATGACTTTTAAAGCACGGAATACAATATAGCCTTGAGCAGGCAAAGAGCTCATGACATCTCAAAATTGCTTTCTGCATTTAATGAAACCTATAGGTTCATGTTCAAAAATACATATAATTTCATTAAGTGTGGGGATCAAAATAGAACTTCTGAAAAAAAATCAGAAACAAATATGATTATAAAACACTCATGCATTCTTCTAAAATAGGAGTGTTAGAAAAATTTGTGTTCACGCAAACTGCCACTGGTTTAAAACTAAATTGGAATCCTGAAACCACTTTAACTATAAACACACCTGTACTGATTAGCATATATAGAAAATCAGAGCAACATAACTTACTTTTATTACTATACGGCTATTTGAAAACATCCAAGACATTTCACATAAATACTAATCTCTATCAGGAAAAGTTTACTCCAATCTACGTTAAATATGAAAACTATCTGGCAAAGAATCAACTAAATGGGCTTTTGGAAAGTGAGTTTACAGAATCCTACAACAATAAACAGGCAAAAATTAGAACATATTGATGGAAAAACTATAATATCTTATATTCTAATATTTTATTGTTTTCATAAACCCTGATATTTGCTACAAAAACTTATAGAAGAGACAATAAATGCCTAGCAAGATCGAAAAACACAAAGCAATCCTAATCTTAGAATGGCCTGAGAAAAAATTATAAACACTGAAAGGTAACTAAGGACATCAACAATATTAAAATTAGTACAACAAAAGGAATTCGAACTTAATGAAAGAAAACTTTTTTATGAGATGTCATAATTTTGCTTTGATATATTCAAAAGCCCACTCTTTTGGAAAACAGGTGGTCAAGTAGAACCTTTTCCTCCTGACAATGAGGTACTCTCCCAAATACTCCAAAAAAGTATTCTCTCAAAGGAGATGGATTATAGAAAAAGCCTACATCCACATATTTAAAGATATACCAGATGCTTGAGCATGTATTCTTCTGCCTAAATCGAAAGATCAGCTTTTGTTGTACTTTTGTGTTTAGTTCTCCAATTTAAAATGACAAAGTTGTGTTAATATTGTCCTCAATTTTAAGTAAACATTGATTATATCTCCCTGATTACACACTGCTATTGCACTGTATCGAGTTAGAAGCATATGCTGTGCTACTCTGCCTTACCCACAATGCAGCACTCAATCTCATACTCTAGCTGTTCCACACAGATACCCCTTTATTTCATCCCACTGGATTTTACATTCTCAAGCGTAAAGAACAGTATTCTTCCACCTCCATATATCCCAAGGGTAATTAAAACACTACTACATACATAATAAACATTTATTTCTTAATCTTTATCATATGATCCTCCAACAAAGTACTATAACAGTGATTCTAAAAAAAAAAAGGTTTCGTTTTTTTTTTTTTTATTCCCCAAGCTGGGCTTCCCTATTGATCATTTTATATGCTCTTGCATTCATTACAAATGTTGGCCAGCTTTTTTTTTTTTTTTTTAATTTTTTTAAAGGCCCCAAATGGCCAAAGGTATTCTAGTATCCACAGGGGTTAAAGAAAATGGAAAGGCAAGTAGAAAATACTTGGTGTAAGAATGTATCAAGTATAATTAAAGAACTGAACACAGGATAGGAAATACAAAAAGACAGAGTCTGTTATCTAACCATGTGTAAGAGCCCAGTCTCTCTAATTTTCAGTAGGTGTTAAGAGTCTGATGCTACCGATGTCCCTGAAGCTCATCTAGTTTAAGAACCACAAACTGAGGAATCCTTTATTAAATGAAAAATTGGACTTGGTCTGCTACTATATGCCATTTTTTGTAAAGCAAATAAAGATTACAAATGATACATTTTTCTGAGAGAGATGCCAATGTAATCATTTATCTCATTATCATAATACTCTAGATAGTAAAGATATTGGAAAATATCTTCAATTAATTCAAGGTAGTTTATGTGACGTGCTCAAGAGCTGCAGAGAGAACTTCCATAAGAACAAAAATCTAGAGTTGGATACATTGATAATCACCCAGCTAGAGGACAGGCCAACACACATCTCACAGGCTTCACAGACTACATGATAGTTTTAAGGCATGACACTGTTTTCTTAGAGAGGACAACTTGAAAGTAATAACCTCAGCTACTAATATATTTACTCTTCGATTTAAAATTTTCAAGTGGTAATGAATAAATATACCATAACCTTAATATCTAATTCAAAATTCAATTTTACGGTAATTTAGAATTCACACTTTTGCATATGATTTCTTGCAAAGGTTAACTAGCTAATACCATTTTAAAGTAATGTAATTCATAGCCTTAAAGATATTAAGAGATATCTAATATTCATCTTAAAGTCAGAAATGTGTATAACAATCTAAATCTGTTTTTAAAGTTTCAAATTTGAACTTTCTCCATGAAAAAAATGTATTATTTAAAATAAAACATGCCAACCTGAAAAATTTTACATACACGTGATATAAAACTAACCTATAAAACCATTCCCCCCATCTCCAATTACTGAATTCAATTATAGGTAAAGCCTGAAGTATCCAGGTACAAGAATTAAGACTTCAGTTCTAGAATTTGGTATTTTTTAGGCTTAATCAATTTGAGAATAAAATAAATCAAAAGTTAAATGTTTTAAAATAAAGTGTTAACTAAAATTTGTTAGTATTATAAAGTTGTATATATGATAAAAAAGGATTAGAGATGAAAATAATCTCCCCAGATATTTAAGTACTTAAGTATTTGCTATAATTTTAACTTTGCCAAATAGTGAGGAACTACCCAACAGTTTAAGATACCATTTGCAGTATGTAGCTGCGGCTGTATTTTTAAGAACCTTAACTTCAAATACCTCAACCTTTTATGGTAGAAACAGAACAAATTTTGTATAAGTAGCCTAGGGCATGTAAAGACGACAATGACATTGTGTTTAGGGCCAGTTGGGAGGTCATATACCATACCTCCACTGCTTTGGATCAATGCCCACCCTTTCCTCCTAATAAACCAAGACCCTTGGATTCTAAAAATAAGAGGTGAGGACAGGGAGTAGCAGGGGGCAGGGAGCAGGGAAAAGAAGAAATGGCCAAAACAGATCAGAAAAAGTGTAAAAGCTGGCCCAAAAGGCCTTATGTGACCTAGTTCAGGGTCCTCCTTTTATAGACAAGGAAACTATGACCCAAACAGATGGATGCCCATAAACTGCATCATAAAGACTGAGAGAAAGAGAAAGATGAATCAGGTTTCAGACCTCCTTTCCCTCTAGTTTAGCTGACTTTCCACTATCTTCAACTTCATCACATCACAGCCCTTGCTCAAGAGTCCATAGGGAATTACACTATCTCAGCAATTTACAAAACAAACAAACAAATAATAAAAACCTTTTAATCATAAAAATCCTTCCTCTAAAATTAATTTCAAACCCTAGGTTACAAAATAGATAATAGCAGAGTGGCTTAGCGAAGTGTGAGCGGAAGCGTTAGCGGCCCTCGACCCGGGGCAGCCCCAAGGCCACCTCTGCAGAGCCGTCATCACCTCTGTACTCTCTAGCATTCCATCAACTGATGCCATCTCAATAACCTAGTTTTTCAACATGTGCCACCCCTCCACCCATGAACTCTTTACATGGCTGCTAATCTGTCTTCTCTACAGATACAGATCCCTCTCATATGTGTATCCTATTATGTTTGAATGTTTTTCTCTCTTCTTCTCTAAAAACACATCCTTTGCCACCTCCAAAATAATTATCATAATTTTCCTCTTCTAACATACCATTTCCTAGACATTTATAAATTCGATTTGAACAACATAAAAATGCTACCATAAAAATGACACTAATATGGCCTAACTGAACCAGAGTGGAAAGGAGAGTAGAAATGGATGGTTAGCTAGCTAACTTAGATTAACAAGATGATAAATCACAAATTAAATGAGATAATTACTTATTTCTAAGTGGAGATCCTGGCAGGACTACTTTGGAAAATAGGTATGACTTGTGTAAAGCAAGCACTGATGGTTAAGTTACCGCTAACTCTCCAGATTAGAATGCTTTTACAAATGTATTAACTTATTTATACAGTCCTTACTTGTAAAATCATCTCATGCTGATAAATTAACTAAGGAAGAGCCCTAAGCTAAGGATAACATAGCTCCATTCAGGAGATTTCCACAACGTCGACTCTGTGCTCGTTCAAATTTGGGTGCTGAACGAAAGGACTCTCACATGTAAAGGCTGAAGTTTCTATTTGTCCTATAATAATTCTCATCACCTGGTACTCAGTATGCATTCATATTTAGTCTGCAGGAAGAGAGATAGCATTTTGTAACCACAAAGGACTTGAAGTAATTTGATTAAGACTGACTCTCAGTTTTTTGACTCAGGGTTTTTCCATAGGAAACCGATTATTTGGAAGAAGACAGTACATAAAAGCAGTAACAAAATTTAGAACAAACAAATATTGTACCATAAAGATTTTTATAAAGGTGAAAAAACTGAACTAAGATAGGAATTTTCAGAAATAAATCTCAAGATCAACACAGCAGATTTCATGACGAAAATTCACTAAAAAATTCTGTAAAACATTAATGGAATAGAAAGTTGGAAGTAAACAAATGATTTTGTATCTAATTGTAAATAATTCTGAAAGGAAAATCTGTTCAGTTTGACTGATGTTTAAAGCCAGGTGCTCTTGGGGATATAATTCCTTTTTCCAAAAACAAACTCATTATGTTTTGGAAATATAAAATGATTATAAGTTACTTTATATTTGAAAATGAAGCATTTTATATTAAATAGGTTAAGTCAACCGACCCTTTGAAAAAAGACTGCTTTCGCACTCTCTGACATATGCTTAAATGAGTATCATCAGAAAGTAAATAATAAATCCTTCTCATAATATAAGTACTAAACTCCTAGCCAAAATCCTGAAAAATATACACTGTGCAGCCTACCTGGTCTATTCTGGATGTTCCGGCTGCAGTGCACCAACTATCTTGGAGTGAATCTGAGCCCCAAGCTGGCAACTGCAAACTAGATCTCACCTTCAATAGCATAGAAGTTTTCATCAGAAATAAGCAGTTCTATTCCCCATACCCACCCACAAAAAGAAAAAAAAAAAGAAAGAAAGAAAAGAAAAGAAAAACAAAGTTCTTTCTATCTTCATCTTTATTCTGTCATCTAAAGGTTTTAGGGGGAAAAATAAATCTTAGTTTAAATAGCCAAAGGGAATTTCATTAACCTGAGATACCAACAAAATATTAAAAGGCCTGAAAAAATGTCAATTGTCATTACTATTGGGCCACATTTAGAAAAAAGTTAGTCAATGAGCCAGTGAAGACAAATTTTAATTTGATTTGAAAAGCCCTAATATTATCATGCTATAATCACAGTGGTAAAATGTGTATTCTAATATATACAGCTGATTATAGTCAAATCTATGCACAATTATGAACATTTTAGTTTAGATATTAATTATAGAAGAAACTCATTCTGGTGGCCCATTAAAGATTAATAAGTTAAGGCATTCTTAAGGAATTGCCAATTAAAAGCTTCAATAAATATTTAAGAAATACAGGTTTCTCTACATTTTATGAAGCTTATTTTCTATTCTTAGAGAATTTTCTATAGTGTCAATTTTCTCTGTATAGATATTTTATCCTTTGATAATGAACTTATAGGTTTAAAAACTAAAATTTCTTTTTAATCCATTAATTTTATCTCACTATTGCTCCTCGTACCACCACCGCCACCACCCAATTTCCCATTGTGAAAGATTAACATTAGAAATAAGGCCATTGACAAACCATCCTTACCTGTAAGGGTAAGAGTGTGTTACTATTGTTGTCTGTTCTGAACACATTATCTTCAATCCAAGATTTTGGAGTCAGTGATGGAGTTGAGCGAGTAAATTTCGGTGGTGCTATGACATTACCAGAAAACGGTTTCTTCAATGGAGATATTTGATTCATAGTTCCTGGAATTCCCATGTTTCCAGTTCTACGGTGATCTCTGCCATGCATTGCTCCCCACGACATACTTCCAGTGCCCCAGCCACTGTTCTGATGGTTGCTCCAAGGAGATTGTTTCAGAAGAGGCTGGAGAAAATATATCTATTTAAATTATAGGCATTTAAAGAGTTTACAATTCAAACTCAAATTTTAGACCTGAGCTAAGAATTTATATGATCTTTAAAAAATAAAATATGTACAGGCAACAGAATATCCTTAACTAGTTTACAAAAAGTAATAGGCTTGAGATCTTGCTATTAAAACATATTAATTTAATACGAGGTGAGTATGAATCAAGCAGTTTTCTCATGACAAGTATTAAAATAGAAGCATGCAGTTATTTTTTTTCCCTTCAGAGAGAAAGGCATACATAATAAACATTAGAAAAAAATACTTTAAAAGTAAAATTAACTTTGAAGATCCTTAAAGATATAACCTACATTGTGATCTTAAAGCAATCACATTCTCCTAGACACAGATAAAAATAGTCTTTATTAATTAAAATATACCGACCATATGAGTAAATTTAGATTTTACGTTTCCAAAACAAGTTATAGAACTGCAAAAGTGAATGATAACTGGTGTTATTCTGTTGCACAAATTAAAAATGCCTTTTGGGATAGGGACAATATAAGAAATATAGTGTCCTTTTCTGCATTGTTTACTGAACACTTAAGATATTTTATTCCAATTTTAGTGCAGTTTCTTTTAAAGTGTTTTGTTTTTATTTCACTTAATTATCCAAGAACTGTTAAGCAATTATCTAATGTTACCCATAGGTGGATCCACTGAGATATACAAAGTAAACAACTGTATGCTTTGATTATTCTAGTAAAGATCTTAATATTACAAATCTGCATTAATTTCACTCATTTTCAAAAGCAAATTATATTCTACACTAAGACCTATGCTCCTCCCTCCAAAAGTTATATGTCATCCAATAATGGAAAATCCACCAAAAGCCTATAATCGTAGGTTTTTAAAATATATTAATTGTTAGTAATTATATTAGTAATTGTTAAACTTTAATAATTTTGTGTTAACATGTAGCCAAAAGTAGTATGGACCATGCAGTTACAATTAAGTCAATAAATACAGCACCCTTAAAATTAGAGCTGCTTCTTACGAGGCAATTAAAAAACCAAAACTGATGTAATACTTATTTAAAAAAATTTTTTAAATGCTAATGTAATCATGAATACATACTGCCATTTCAACTTCCACACAGTTCAAAAGCTAGCTAAGAGATCATGGACAAATCGTTCCACTCTTGAGGGCCTTATTTTCCTCACTGATACAATGTTCAAAGTTCTCTTCCAGTGATCTAAAATACCATGTGACAGCTGTGTGACCTCTTACACTCCACTGCGCGACTCATCTTTTGACAAAAAGCAGCTTATAGTTAAATATGGATCATGATACATGGTCTTTTGATGGTTCTACAACACGTTTTTAGGAATTCAAAAATACCTGTAGATAATTTTATGCGGCAAGTTTTCAGTTTAAAAAAAAAAACAACGAAGACCCCGACCAAAAAAAAAAAAAATAGTTGCTGAAGATGATGCAAATCATGAAAAAGTGGAATATTATTTCAAAATTCCACATTTTCAGTCCTCACAGGCCACATTCTCCTTTCTCGGAGAGAAACAAGTGATTCAACAAAAACTGTTAACTGTTACTCTGGTTAATTTAAGTAAACTGTTAACTGTTACTTTGGTTAATTTAGATAGTTATTCACCCTTCAAAAAAGTTAATCGTTGGAAACTTTAACTGGTCAATGGAAAAAGTTATATGGGTAAAAATAAGCGCTGGTCAAGACCCAAATTTACTTCTCTGTCCTTGATCACGTAAACGGCCTTAAACAGAACGATCACTATAATAAATGCTACCAGATCCAACAAGAACAAGAAAATACTTTTTAAATGTAAAGTAACCAACCGAGCGATCGCTCAGACAGCGCACTGAGGGGACAACAAACCGATCTTGAACCGGAAAGGACCCGGATGAGTGAAACCGTGCGCGGCGGTGTTTCACCCCCCCCGCCCCCCAGAAACGCGGGATCGGGGGGCGACTGGCGCTCGCCTCGCCGCAAGGCAACGCGCCAACCCCGCACTCGACTCGACTTCTCGTTCAAAACCCGCAAAATACACGCCCACCTCGCGCGGCACAGACACGGAAAGCATCGCGGAGGACCTCGGTGTCAGCGAGCGAGCGCCGGCCGCCGGCTCCTCCTCGGCGAGCGCTGACAGCCGGGGGACGCGACGGGATCGGGGCGCCTGGCGCTCGCCTCGCCGCAAGGCAACGCGCCAACCCCGCACTCGACTCGACTTCTCGTTCAAAACCCGCAAAATACACGCCCACCTCGCGCGGCACAGACACGGAAAGCATCGCGGAGGACCTCGCGGTGAGCGAGCGAGCGCCGGCCGCCGGCTCCTCCTCGGCGAGCGCTGACAGCCGGGGGAGGCG